CGAGCTCTGGGGGTGGGGGCTGTGCCTGAGTCACTCACTGCCGGATCCCCATGATGAGCTGATAAATGTTTAACCACTGGCTGGGGCCAGGGGGTTGCGGGGAGGGGGCTGGTTTGCAGTGTTCGCCAATAATCTGTGGTGTGAATACTCTCACTACGGCCCATTACAAGCTACCAAGGCAACACCAGCAAACACACAGTTGGGAAGAAATGTGTAGTAGCCACGATTATGCAGTCACGTGTTGTATAATGACGGGCTACGCTCTGGGAGATGCATCATTAGGCCACCGCGTCCCTGTGCAAACACCCCAGAGGCACTCGCACACACCTGGGGGCACGGCCCCCTGCACACCAGGCTGGACAGTGCAGCCGCTGCTCCCAGGCCACAAGCCGGCACGACACGTTCCTGCGCTGACTGCCGCAGGCAATTGTAACAGTGGTGTTCGTGTATCTAAACACGTCTAAACACAGAAGAGGTACAGCAAAACATGGTACAGGTGATTTTTTAAATGGAGCACCTGCAAGTGCAGCACGGTAAGTGCACCAGGGCCCTCACCGTGGACGGGGACTGCAGGCCTGGACGCTGCTCTGGGAAATCGGCGGGTGAGGGGTGCGTGAGTGGGGAGCCCCGGGACGTCCCCGGGCACCCCTGGAGACTCTGTAACGCTGCCCCACAAGCGCCTCCCCCGGCTTCCTCCTGACAGGGTCGGAGGTGGAACCTCAGAGCTGTCCCCCAAACAGGGAGGGGGCTGGACTGACCGGGCACACTGGGGAGAGACCACGGCTGGTGGGACGCAGAGACCGCGTCAGTAGCTGTCAGGGGGGAGTGGGGCAGGGGGCGGGGGGGGGCCGAGGGTCAGCGGGAACGGGAAGCTAAGACGGAGCGGGAGGAACACCGGGGACTGTCGTGGGCCTGTGGTCTGGCTGCTGCCCGTCGGAGCAGTGGGCAGATCAAGGAGCTCTGTGGTGTGTTCAGGAAAAGGGGATTTAACACAGAGAGAGTGTAGACCTGAGGACTCGCCATTTCGACTTCGGGATTTGGTTTTGGCTCCATCGACCCTGTCGGGCACAAAAGGCTCTCTCCGGTGTTGAACTGATGGGAGAAATAAGACATACCTATGCTTTACACCACTGCAACGGAAATATTTCCACGTGCAGGGACAGGCTGGCCCCACACAGCCACAGGCAGCCTTTACTAAAGCGGCGGTGGCGCCCAGGGACCTGTGTCCTCGTACAGGGTCTCGGGTCCCCAGCAGAGGCCTCACGGCCCTGGTCTCCGAGGACACTGGCCGGGGCCGGGGGCCCAGAGAGCCCTCCGCACACGCAGCACCGGGGGACGGGCTCCCCTGTGCCGAGCGGGTGGGCGCCCGGCAGCCGGGGCTGTGGCCTGTGGCTGCGCCCTCGGGACGAGGTGCTGTGAGCGCCAGGGGGTCTGCTGCCCGGCCCCACAGACACGCCCCGCCAGAGAGAAAAGAGTCCCCCCGAAGCACGAACCGTCCCATCTCCTACGGGGCGTTCAGTTCCGTTCTCGTCTCTTCAGACCGCCGCCGTGGATGCGGTCTCTCATTGACAGAAACCTGGTTATGCCGCACACAAGGGGGGACCCCAAAACCTGGAATGTACTTATAAAACATCGTGCACTTATTCTCACATGTTTCAGCTTCAGTCCCCCTCGATGGCATCCATGGGATGGCACACACCTGTCCAGACATTTCCCCCCTGCTCAAGCAGTGTGTGAAGGGGTCGGTTCTGATGCCTTTTAGCGCTTCTGCCATTTTTTGTTTCACCTCTTCTCCATCGGCAAAACGTTTCCCTGTGAGGACTTTCATCATCCAGGGAAACGAGAAGAGTCGCCCGGGGTGAGATCAGGTGACTAAGGAGGGTGGGGCCAGGGGGTGATGCCGTTTTCTGATCAAAATCTGCCGAACACTCAGTGTGCTGTGGGCAGGAGCGCCTATAAATCACCCACATGAAACTAGCAAATGCGTTGAAAGACTCAAAAAACTCACTGAAGCCAAACGCAGCCTCTCACAACCACGCCAGCTGGTACCCTGACACAGATGGGTTCCTAGAACACTCACCTAGTGGGGGGAAGCCTGTGTTACAAAGGGCCCACCCTTTCAGAAGTTAATTCCGTTTCTGGGAGGTCTCCCCTCATATATAATATACACATGCACACACATAAAAGATACAAATAACCACCAGCACATAGGTAACAGTGAAATAACTAGGAAGGACTGCATTTTGAGTATTCATTACCCTTGCATCTAGTATAATTGATTTAACTGTAAACTTACATATTTAAGATTTTTTCCATAAAGGCCGTGTTCAACAGCCAGCTCACAAAATTCCTAAAACTGAGTGGTCAGCCCCCATGCTTTGGCACAAGCTGGCCCCAGCAGGAGGACGGCCACTCCCAGGGACTCTATCAGACCAGGACCCCAGAGGAAGGTGACTCTGCAGCCCTCCAGCAAGGCGGAGAGAGCCTGAGGGACTCTCCAGGGACACATGACCAGAAGGAGCTGAGTCTTGGCCCCGGCGGCACAGTGGGGTGGACAGAGGGCTCCGGGCTGCTCTGCTGTTTACGCATGATTCTCCTCCCTGAACTTCGGACCCCCTGAGGGCAAGGACCGTGGCCCACTCACAGATACAAAATCGGTGAAGACAAGCCTTCGCTGTAAACAAGGACTGGGCGGGCAGGGAGACCCAGGCCGGAGGCCCTCACTCACTAACCGCGACCTCAGGTGGTCACTGAAGGCTGTGGTCCGTTTCCCTCATCTGTGAGATGGGTATGAACCCGTCTGCCCTGCCGAATTATCGGGGGTGCAGCAGAAACAAAGAGATAATGCGGCATGAATCGAAGTTACTACTATTATGTATACACACCAGCCCCTTCATCTGTCCTAAACTTTCCTAAGAAGACGACATGCTTTCCACTCTGCTCCTCCCCCGTGTGTGAAGCAGCTAGCCCAGCGTCTGGCACGTAACCAGACACTATAAATGTCTGTTAACTCACTTACTACTCATCTAATTCACTGTAGGCTTTTCCCCTACACTAACCTGGTACCTGGGCCCCGAGGGCCTGAGATAGGAGAATGCCACCCACCCCTCCACGAGACTCCTCCCAAGTTAAAACTCGGAAGAGCAGACTTTAGAAACCACTGATGACTGGACACCCACTTAATCAGCAACTGTGTATCGACCAGGGTTCCAGACTGGTCCCCACTCTCAAAGGCTTACAGTCCCCCCAGGGGTATAAACAAGCCACCCCCACCGCGGTGAAGGCAGAAAAGCATCCTGAACTTGGATCGTGAGCCTGCTCAGCCGGCAGAGAGGAAGAGGCCCCCCGAGAGAAGTGAGGAGGTGGAGGGTGGGACCAGCTTTCGGAGGGAGCAGCAAAGGCGGCGGGTCTTTGGCGGGAGAGGAGGGGCAGGGACCTCAGGCAGGCCAGCCCCAGGGAGCAGGGTGAGAGTCAGACCCGGGCACCACCTTAGGCCTCACCAGCCATGAGGAGGGTTCCGAGCGTTACCCTGGAGCCTGAGGAAGGGTCAGGACGGCCCCCACCCACAGTCACAGGGAGGCTGGAGATCTCCAGCCTGAGCCCTCCTGGTCCATGTGTCGGAGGACTGGACGCCGGGGTACAGTGCTGGGTGGACGAATGGAGGGCCGGATAGACAGATGGGTGCTGCAGCTGATGGCCAGGCAGACAGGGCTGCAGGGACGGGCTGGGTGTCTTAATGAGCGTGCACAACCTGTCTCCTCTCCCCAGCATCCGAGCTCGAGCAGATGGTGCGTGGGCAGGCAGGGCGGGGCTTCCCTTGATGGAATCACTCAGGAGGACCAAGGACTTTGAGGCAAACCAAGGTCTCAGCTCCAAAGTGGGGAGAAGCGCCGCCCCACCCGGCAGCACCCCCCTCACCTCCCGCTGTGGCCTGAGCTGGGGTCCTCAGGCTGCTGGGCTCTCCAGGCTAAAAGAGGATTCCTGACCCCTGTCCCGGACCCCCACCCTGGGAGAGGGTGGAGAAACTCTCCCCACATTCTCCTATCTCAGGCCTGGGCTCCGCTCTCAGGGACCACCCCTGGAGGCCGGGCACGGATCTCCACTCTCAGTGGGGCCCACCCCAACACACTTCCTGCCTCGAGGAGTGTCCAGGCCTGACCCGGGTCTGCGGCCATGGCCTTCCCGCTGAGCAGGGCACCCTCCCCCCGCACCAGCCCCTCCTCCTCGAAGCTGCCCCTGTTCCATCTCTGGGCGGGCATCCAGGCTGGAGAGGCTCGCCCAGCACTGAGGGGCCAGGAGCATTCCCTGACTTCGTGAATCGCAGAGATCCCCAAGGTCAGTGCTGGGGGGTGGGGGGGAGCCACAGTGACAGCAGAACCTGAAGGTCCCATCAGTTGACAGGGCAGTGAGGCACAGAGTCACACACACATCCACTGATGCACGAAAAACAGAAGTCATGCAGAGACAGGACACCGAAGGGACACAGAGACTCCCGTGGGGGAGGGGGTTCACACCCTCGCACTCTAGAGGTACACATACACACTCACAACCAAATGACACAGGGAGACACCCCCACAGAGACAGCAAACCCAGAGACACGTCTACAATACTCAGGCTGCCGGGACACACGGACAGAGAGAGAAGTCGCCAGCTCCTGGAAACACACGCACACCAGGGGCACAGGGAAGATCCGGGCTTGGACTCTCACACCCAGGGGCACAGAGATACACACTCTCAGACACACCCAGGGACACGCGGAGGAGACGCCAGGCTCCCACTGCGCGGAGCAGGGACACACAAAGATCCCGCAGCAGCAGACATACGCAGAGCGGCCGGGACGATCCGGGCAACGGCTCCGCTGGACTCCCCGCGACCCTGACACAGAGATGGCCCCCTACCCCCGCCCTGGAGTCACACGGAGCCGCACACCCCCTCGCGGAGCCCCCGGCCGCCGGCGCCCGCGGCCCTCCGCCCGGCCCCCTCCCGCGGGCCGCACTCACCCGCTCCGGCCGCGCCTTTGTTGTCCGTGCAGCTCACAAAGGCCCCGGCGGCCGGCTCCGCGCCTCAGCCGCCCGGCAGCCGCGGGCGCCCATGGCCGGGCCGGCCCAACCCCGCGCCCCGCCGCCCGGCCCGCGGCCGCCGCCACCGAACCAATGGCCGCGCAGCGCGCCGCGCGCCGCCCGCGAGGTCGCGGCCCCGCCGGGAGTGCGCCCGCCTCGCAGCGGCCTGGTCCAGCGGCCGAGCACGGAGACGCGGCACCGCCCCCGCTCGCCAGGCCTGCTGCCGCTGAAGTCACCGCTTAACCCCTGGTGGCCGGCCGCCGCTGCGCCCCTGCCCGCGCGGGCGCCCCCGGAGGAAGCGGGACAGGGAAGAGGGGCGCCCCAACCACCGTTGGCAGGAGGGCTTCGGCCCTCCCGCTGGCCCTGCGCGGATCAACCTGACCCAACCTCTCACAACACAGCTGGGGAAACTGAGGCCTGAAGGGGCCTTGCCCCAGGCCCCACAGGGACCCTCCCTTCACTCCCAGTGTCCCCTCCCACTTCCCTGTTTCTCCCACCAGAAGCTCCCACACACCGTCCAGTCCCGTTACCCAGCTGTCCCACGCTGGCTGGCTGGCTGCTTGCTTCTCTGTCCTCAGGTTCCAGAGTTTGCCCAGGTGTTTCCCAGAAGGCCAGAGATGCCTGGGGTGGCTCCAGGGGAAAACCCAGAAGTGTGACAGCTCCCACCAAATCTCAGATGGCACAGAGCCCTCCAGGTCCGTCAACGACCTCAGTAACTATGACCCCAGTAGCTGCAGGCGTGAAGCGTTTGCTATGCTCAGTGAGAACATCCCACTGAGCTGGCAACGGCCCTGCCGTGTGGCCCTGCCACCTTCCTGATGAGGACACTGAGGCTCAGAGCTGCGAGCCACCTGCCAAGCTCACCCAGCAACGTGGTGGAAAGGAGCCCCTCACACCTCCTTCCTTCCAGACCCCGGAGCTGCCGAGCGCTAGTCACTCCCTCCCAGAATGCCAACGAGGGCCTCCGGATATGATGCAATTAATTACAGTTATCAGGTCATTAATTAAGATTATCCCTGTAGTTATTAAACACCGCCTTGCTACCCCTCAATTTGCAGTGAAGTTCACACTCAGGCTTATCGGCAATTACTCCTGGGTTGATAATGATGAGTTCCGTGGACTCCAAAGGGCACAGGTGTATGTGGGCTGGAACCTCTGTCACACTGTGTGTTCATCCTGCACAGCCAGCGGAAACCTTTCTGTTAGCTACCCCCTGTTCGTCAGGCACCAGCCTCAGGGGCTAGGAATGCAGCTAGGGACCAGACAGACCCCAGCCCCGCCCACTCCGTTCTCAGAGTCCGCGAGGAGACCCAGACCAACGGGCCACTACAGCAAGCTGAAACGAGGGCACTTGGGCCACACTCTGAAACCATCGTATTCGTTGGCTGGTCGGTTTATGTATTGCACAGGTCCGCACGGAACACAGGCGCCGTGGGGCCTGTCCTAAGGCTAGTGCACAGGGTTGTGCGAAGCCCCAGGCCTGCAGCAACACTCAGCTCATCGTGATCAGCCAGTGAATGTTTGCTGAGCGCCTACTGTATTCCAGACATCCTCCTGGGCACCGTGGACGCATCCTCTCTGTGTGGTCCTTACCCTGCCAGAGCTGCCAGAGCTCCCATTCCGGGGTGAAGCAACAGCAACCATGACCGCAAAGAGGAAAGTTTCTAGAGCGCTAGCAAAGCAGCAGGAACACCTCCAGATGCCCAGCGAGTGACCTGGGGCTCACAGCAGCAAGTCTCGGGCCAGATTCAGATGTTCTGAACCTGCATTCAAAGTCTCTCGGATCTGCGCCAACCCCCATCCCTGGCTCTGGGTTTCCTGCTGGGCTGAGCCCTGAAGCCCTCCCAGCTGCATGTCTGCCCCTCCTTCGTTGCACTGGGCTCACCCTCCCCCAACCCAGATCCCCCAGAAGACCCAGAATGCCCAGGAAACCTCCCCACATGGCCTTTGTTCCCTGACCACCTCTCACCTCTGAGCTCCGCAGTGCTCCGACCTTCGGTTAGTTGCTTTTGTTGTTTTGTGAAGTTGGCTCTGGGTAGGAGCCGATTTGAACTGTCTCCAGTTTGAGGGCAGCTACGATCTGGCCTTGAGGGCAGGGGCCATATGCCAGGCCCCCATCGTGCCCCGGAGCCCAGCACGGGTTGGGACCATTAGAGCATCACAGTAGATTTCCGTGGACACCCTCAAACCCTTATCAGCAGAGCCCTCTGGGGCCAGGGCTGCAATCCACCAGCTCATAGAACAAGTGGAGCGCGCCCGCCAGTAGTGGTTTTGTTGCTGCCAACAATTTGTTGTTCATCAGTTACCCGCATCTAACAATGGGAAGATATCCCATAACAAGCCAGATTGCTGGCTTCTCTTAACAGATCTGAAGATTCCATATGGCCAGGCCCCCGTCCCCTGGGGTCACACTCCGCAGTCCCCAAAGGGCCCCGACTCCTTACCAGAGCCGTGCCCTCCGCTTGCCTCCATCCCACCCAGGGCTGCGCGACCCACCTGACTTGCAGGCCTCTGCTCTGGGAACTAGTGTTTTCATTTCCTTTCCCCTCTCCATTGTACTTTTAGGAGAAAGCAACACACACTTGAATAAATGAGCCTGCAGCCCTCACCTTCCAGGCTAGCCCAGGCCCCGGGCCAGGCCACATTCTCCTACATTCTTTTTTTAATTTTATTTTATTTATTTATTTTTGGAGAGAGGGGAAGAAAAGGAGAAAGAGAGAGAGAGAAACATCAATGTGCGGTTGCCTCTCACACACCCTTACTAGGGACCTGACCTGCAACCCAGGCATGTGCCCTGACTGGGAATCGAACCAGTGACCCTTCGGTTCTCAGACCCTCACTCAATCCACTGAGCCACACCAGCCAGGGCTATTGTGTGTTCTTGATCTCTCCGCCATCTCCCTCTCCCGACACACACACCCCCACTCTCTCGCCTCCCCAGCTCCACACCCTTTGCTCCACGGCACAGATGAATGTGCAAGGGGTGCCCTGGGCCTCCGCCCCTGCTGCTCCCTCCGCCTCCATCCCCCAGACTCAGTAGCTAACTGCTCTTTGGTGCCCTCAATATAAATAACGCCTTCTCAAGGATCCCTCTCTCTAGCGCCCCCAGGCTCGACCCCGGGGGCTCTCGCAGGGTCCTGTGCTCCCCGCCCAGTGTGCCCATCCCACCGTGCTGTGCGGTGTATTTGCCCCATGTCTCCCCGCAGACCGTGGGTCCCTGGGAGCTGGGACCCGGCTGTGTCATTCACGCCGGAATCCCCAACACCTGGGGCAGAGGCTGACAGAGCACAGGCGGGAGATAAATATTTGCTAATAGTTGAATGAATGGGTTTCATTAGCCACAAAATGAACAGAAAGAATTTCTGGGAACATTTCCACGTCCTAGAACATTCAATTAACCAGAATTTTCCCACTCCCTGTGCATTCTGGCGAGGACGGGATCGACTGTGTAAGCACAATCATTAATGATGCATCTGAATGGGACTGGGACTCTGCTCGGGCTTGTCCCCGCCACCGACCTGCGGGGGCGGTACTTTCCATCGGCCGGAGAGGCCGGGGAACTTGCCCCAGGTTGCCTAGCAAACTGGTGGCAAAGTCAAGATGGAAACGCAGGGCTCCTGCCTCCACCTCCCGGCCTGGCTCCCCTTCCACCAGCCCTGGCCCACGGTGGGTCAAAGAGAAAGGGGGTGGGTGGGACAGGGCACTTTCCCAAGCCCAGACACAACCCTCACACCAGCGGAGCAAGGGAGAGCACGCAGGAAACTGTCAGTCCTCGACATTTGCTGTATCGTCGAACTACTCATGGACCGGCTCTTATCCAAGAGAGGCTGGACCACATGTCAATTACCAATGAGGATGCTAAGGTCCGTCTAACCCAGGAGAAACCCTCTTCCCACACACGCCTGCCCCCGTTCCACAGGACGGGCGTTCTGAAGGGGGCTGGGACGCACTGAGCACCCCTCCAGGCCTCTCAGCTTCCTCACAACCCAGGGCCTGCGTTTGTGGGACGCAAGGTGAGGTCAAAGGCACAGCCACCGGCGGCGATGTCTCCAGGGGCTCAGGTGGGGAGGGAAACTGGACTTCTCTGAGCTACCACTGCACGGGGCTTGGCATCCGGAAGAGGCCAGTCTGAGCGGTTTATTCTCTTGGGGGTGTCGTGTCCAAGCGCTCCCAAGACAACCAGGGGCGGGGTGGACAGCTCGTGTTGATGAGTGGGCCGGACGTGGACACAGTACAGGGCGCTGGGCCTGATTCCACCCTGAGGTCCCTATGGGACCTTGAGAACAGCCCTCACCCGCTTCACTTGGTCCCACAGACTGTCAGGTGGGAACAATAACCTTTTTGCCCTCTTCTACCTCACAAGATTTTGGAGGATTCATGTTAGTACAGCCTAACAGGGATTTTTCAACTTCTCACTGACAAAATTAAATAAAATATGCTACTTAATACTATAGTATCGTCCTGACTGGTGCAGCTGAGTTGGTTGGGCATCATCCTGCAAAGCAGAACATTTACTGGTTCGATTTCTGGCCGGGGCGCATGCCTAGGTTTGGTCCCCTGGTCAGGGCAGGTATGGGAGGCTTCCAATCGATGTCTCTCTCTCACGTGGCTGTTTCTCTCCCTCTCTTTCCCCCTCCCTTCCCCTCTCTTAAATAAATAAATACTGTACGATCATAAACAGTCATAACCATTATTGATGAGAGGCACGCCAGTATAGTAGTGGTGAAGAGTTCAAACTCTTGGGGTTCTCACTACTAGAGAGGGGAATTACAAATACGGGAAGGCAGGAGAGCAGGATGAACCTGCAGTGATGGAAGTATCGGTGTGAGCTGGTCATAGCTCTGTCCACCAAGAAGACCTGGGAGCAGAGACATCCCAGTAGCGATGAGCACATTCGGCGGCTAGATCATGGCTTCTAAATACCATCCTCTACTCAAAAGGACCAGAGCTCCTTGGAGAAATGGCTGATTCCCTGGGAAAAACAAGTTGAGCCTAAAACGTATTGTGCCGGAAATTAGTAAATTGCTCAAGAAGCGATGGGGACATAGCAAAGGGACACAGAAACCAGCACAAAGAGGTTCCAAATAGCCAAACTGAGGGCCAT